ATAAATAGAATCACAATAACATAATATCATTTCTTTAAAAAAAATTAAATATATGTTCCTTTGTATTCAAACTTATCAATAATCAACTACAAAATTATATCATTATTGTACAATTATATATTTGGGCCATGACTTGTCTAAATTTGTACATTTTCATATTATTAATATATATCATAGGCTTAATTATATCAGAAGGTATCGAACTATCACTTTTTTACTATTAAAGGTATCAAACTATTTTTGTTTCCTGTCGAAGATAGCAAACTATCAATTATTTCTATTGAAGATATTGAACTTTAAGTTTTTTCTATTGAAGGTACCAAACTTTCATATTTTTTCCTACGACGTTAAATATTGATGACATGACATTTTTTCCGTAAAAAATCGCTGACATGACAATTTTGGTGTGTTGATTGGACATTTTGACATGGCAATTAAGGTTGACTTTGTAAGTAATTGATCTACCATACACAATGGAAAACAAAAATTCAATTGGTAAATCAATTACCTTTCTTTGCTTAGATCCGAATATAGATTATACCGTTTGCATGTTTATAAACAAAATTCTATATAAAGTAAATCCATTCAAGGATTAGAATACTTACGTACGTTTGGAGGCTCCTTCGAATATCTTTGATTTCGGACAGAAACACTGTTCACTGTTACTGTTCACAATCTACTGTTCATGGTTACTGTTCACCATCTACTGTTCACGTAATTTTTTGCTAATAATCCAAATTAGGATCGCAGTCACGGAAGTCCACACGAAGATAATCCGCAGAACCTTGATTATTTTGCTAGAACAATCAACGGCTTCAAGAATCAAGAAAGAAGAATAAGAAAAGTTTTCTTCTTGAGAGAGAGAGAGAGAGAGAGAGAGAGAGGGTGGCTAGGGTTTGAATTGAATGAATAATTCTCTTTGTTTTAATTTTAAGTTGCACTTATATAGTGCAACAATTAAAACCTTATTCCACTTAGGAATAGCTATGGGCTCCAACCCTAATTCACCCTTGCAACCAAACACACCTCTCATGGTATTTTAATTAATTAATTATTATTATAATTAAAATCAATTAATATATAATAATATATTAACATTTAATTAATAATAATAATTCATTTAAATATATACAGAGATATATATATTTAAATATAATCTCACTAATTTAATTTTAATATTAAAATTAAATACAAGCAACAACCTCAGCAAATTTAATTGCACTGTGAAATTACAAAAATACCCTTTCGTCCTGAAAGACGAAAATACCCTTCTCACAAATTGATTCTTAAATTATCTTCTAAGTGTGTGACCCGTAGGCTTCTCATCATCGGCAGTGTGTAGTATCGCGATTAACACTAATTAATTATCTCACTACACACAGACTAAGATTGGCCCTTAGCAAGTGGTGTGTTGTCGTAGGCAACCAAGATTAAAAACCTTCCTAACCTAACTACTGAACTGTAAATAAGGTAAGCAAGGGTCAATCCCACGAAGAGTGTCTAGCCGAATTTTCGATGATGTGAATAAGGTTGGGGGGTTTTGAGTCAAACAGAAAACAATCTTAGCAAAAACAAAAACAAAAACAATTCGAATCGAAATCAATTAATATAACGAAACTTGGTCTCTGTCAACATCCACCATCGAAATCTTACAACTGATCATTGATGCAAAATTAAATCAATCCATACCTGAATATTCACCGTTGGAACTATTTTCCTATCTCTCCTTAATTGTAATTAATCAAGAAACAAGTGATCTTAATTAATCTTACCACTAAACAACCCTAGACAAGCGCTCAAGATTTAATCTAGTGGCAGCTTTAAGAATTAGAGAAATCGATGAAGCTAAACAACACAAACACAAGCGGTTGTATTTAATTTAGTTGAATGTTCTTCTTAAGATTACTAATTCCTGACGCAGCGAATTATTAACCCTAATTGCTTCACAAGTTAGAGGGATCAAACAATTACGGATTTGATATCTAACTTAGCAGTAGATTGCAACAATTAATAAACTAGTAGGCCTCCTAGTAATTAAATGCATCAATCATGAAGATATGCACAGAATAACATTCAATACTCAAACACGAAAATTGAACACTAAAATAAAATAGATTAGATCTCACAGTTGGTTGATTCCGAGGTCTCCGTTTCCTTCGACCAAGTTACAAAAATCAGCCACTCATGGCCATAAACAAAAACTCCAAAAAGAGAGAAAATTCCAGAGAAGCCAAGAGAGAGAGGCGTGGTGTGTCTTAAAACCTAATCTGATCTCCCTTTTAAAATCCAATTCAAATCTGGAAAAACTACTCAATCTCCTAAACAAATTCTAATATCCTAAAATAACACTTATCCTAATCTGATTAATTGGAAATAAAATAAAATAGAGTCCTAATAAAATAGGAAAGTGGTGTTTCCAGCTGTAATTTTCGTGCAATAGGTCTTCAAATCTTCCAATAAAAATCTGCCTATTTGAATTGCATGACAAGGCAGAATGTTCCAGAACGTCCAGTGCAGATGCGTCAACTTCAAGCTCGATTACAACCTTGATACAGCAAGTATCTCTCCAAACTCAAAACATAAAAGTTGTAGATCTCTTTCTTAGCGTTCCACAGCATTTTGAATCATCTCAATCGGATCTCGGATGAGTGAATTATGCCCAGATTACGAAGCAGTGGCGAAACTATCCGAATTCACCTAATTAATTCCGTTTTTCAATTAACACCTCCATTTGCTTCCTAAATCAACATAGAATAATAATGAGTACATTTAGGCAACAAATACGTATAAAAGACTAAACATTAAGGGGGTAAATATGATATTTTGCATTCCCATCAGCAAGACATCATGGCCACCCGATAGATTTGGATTCAGCAAAACCACAGTCTGTCAACGGTATGGTTACCATGTAGTCAAATCCTTTCATCAACTGTTATCTCATCGAGACTGAGGTACAGAAATAGTGTCAACCTTCGATATCTTTGACATGTTTGTATTCAGTTACTAGACCAATGACAGAAATATTAAATTGGATTGAGCATCAACTCAATCCCACTGTGGCTACAGATTTAGTGTCATTGCCATTTACTAAATTACCTAGTGAAATAACTTCTCCCATACCCAGGAGTGATGAATCCTTTGTCAATCCACCATAGTCTCAATACACTTCTCAATGTAGCCAATCACTACCGTATTGATAGCTCTGAATAGAACTACGTTGGGCTAGTGTCAAACTACACCAATTGGTGCACAAGGCGTTCCGGTGATCTCAAGTCTAAGGATCACATGCATCACCATCCGTTAGAGGATTTATTCCATAGACACTGGGGTTATCATCCATATGGAATCCTCTGGTGGGTCTGTCTAGTGAACTTGCCTCTAGCAAGCATCCATGCGTTGCACTAGGTTGTCGGAAAACAACCTTGACAAGTGAGATCAGTCACTGCCTTATGACAGGGTCGCTTAACACTATGATAGCCTTACCGTATTATCTGTGTTCTTGGTCAGAATAATACTGGGACTACGGACGTTTCTAGAATGACCACCATATGTGATCTAGGGTTTTCACTATCAAGATTTGAAACACTTGATACCCTCGTCACAGTTCTACCATCCTAAAGACATATATCATTACATACACGATATAAAAGAATATGCCTTTTATTGATAAATAAACATTTATTACAAAGTCAATTTTACAATAATTGATTGGCTCTAGGGCACTTACTCTAACAGACTTAGACATTTATAATCTAAAAAAGCTCAAATTAACCCATTTTTTTAATTATTATTTCAATAACAACCACAAAAACCACACAAATAAATAAAACTGACCCATAATGAAAACCCACCTATATTGCATAAACAAACAATCATCAATTTTTAAGTTTTTTATCCTTTTAACCAATTTTTTAACTTTCTTTCCGCTTCCTGCATTTTAATTAAAAAGAAAACCACGTTCCAAATGTTTATATAAATTTGTATTATTGCCAACCCAGTTGCAATTTGCTTATTAATTACCTTCTATTTGCTGATAAAAATCTTTGCACCTAAATAATCCAGAAATTAATCAAATTGGCTGTATAAATCTACTAATGATCCAGAAAGAAGTTAAGTGAGATTAATCAAATTGGCCATGGCAATCTAGCAATTAATCAATGCTCAATTATCTAACCTATCACATCATCCGAAACAACCTTTGTAACTGAAGTTCCAAAATTTGTGAAATAGCAACACTACTACATAAATCTTAATCATTTAAATCTTAATGAAGCACGTCATGCAAAGTTGAACTAAAAAGATAGATCCCAACACATTTAAAGATAACCAAAATGATATTTGAGTCCTAACGAAATTGTCAACCGTACATATTTGATAGATAATTCTAATCTTGTCTGCCACATCCAAGACATCATAATTCCATTAGGCCTACAACACAAAGAATACAATTAGTTTTCAATTCAATTGAAATATACAGATGTTCTAGTGCCCAATTAAAGATGAAGTAGAAACCTATAAACAATATGCAAAGGATATGTAAAAAATGAAGACATGAGACTTATACATTTATCAATCCCATTATGTCTCAAACTGTTCAACAATACTTGCGCCGAATGTGGTTTATTTTATCCTTTCATCTCTTCAACAGGTAGTTAATCGCAATTCTTTTAGTGTTAATGTGCTAACTTTACGGTGTATCCTCCAAAACTTCCTCAATAATTAGAACATACAACCCATAGAATTTACCTAATTAAGATGTTCACTTTCTTGGTCTGGATGTCATACATCTTCTTCACTGCATCCTTGAACTTTGTGAAACATGGTCATTCCCGTGGGCAGTGTTATTGCTTGCTATCTAACTTGACCCAACTAAATGTTCATCTGCCATCATCTATCTAATCACGTAACTGTGTGGTGTTCCTAACTGAATAAGTGGCAAAAAAAAAAAAAAAAAAAAAAAAAAAAAAAAAAAGGGTTGTACTAGACTCATGAAGCTTACAAATTTCTCTTTCTCCTTGGATCCAGTTTCAACTTTGTTCTGCCCACAAATCAAAACTACTGGGCCTGATAATTGGTCAAACACCTCCTGCACCTTACGGACAAACTCCTTACGATTAGACCTGGGAGCTGCTCTGGACAACCACTGAGAAGAATCTGGGAAATAGACAATAAGAGGTTGCATGGAGTTCAAAACCTGCAAACAAGGCAAAAACAAACATCAAATCTACACAAGTTGCAACATCACAGTGAGATGACAAAAGAAACGGCAGGCCACAGAAGAAGCCAGGGTTTCACACACTACATAAGGTTTCATACAGAACAAAAATGTATGATCAGGATACCTCACATAATGCCTCCATTGCTATATAGCAATCCTCTGCCTGGGTATCCAGATCCTGCTCAATGTCCTTCACTGTACACAAGCAAAACTTTTCACATTTCTAACATCTAAAAGAAAAAAAAATCAAATCTAACAATGAAGCATAAATTAGATTTTTAAATACTCAATGCCACATGCAAAACGAGAAAACAATTTTCCTAGTGCTAGAAACTTTTCTTCTTCAATCAGAAGAAAGTGCTGGAAACAAAAAGAACAATAATAAATACATAAAAACTTATCACTATGCTTTGTCAACATCCAATCTAATATTGCACTAAGCAAAAGCAATAATAAAAATACATAAAACTTATCACTCTGCTTTGTCCACATTATTTATCTACTTAAGTTTAGAGTAAAGATACATAAAAATAGATGCATGTCAGGTAGGTCAGTAAGTAAAGTCTTGTCAGGATCAAATCCCACTCACTCTCAATAAGAGAGAATTTTTAGTATGAGAAAAGGATATCTCTGATATACAGCTCATAGGTCCAATGAGACTATTGTACACAAAAAATAAATAAATAAAGAGAGAGAGAGAGGGAGAGAGAAGAAGATGAAATAAAGACAATAAAACATTGACCACATCAACTATAAAAAATAAAAAAAAGGTAAATTTAAGAGACAAAAATCTAAAACATAAGAAAACCACAAAATTGCAATATGACATCCACATTGAACTGAAAACATCATCATCACTGATTAGAGAATATTACCATCTATCCAATAAACTGGCGGTTTTGTAGACTGCTCTGCCACTTNAAAAAAAAAAAAAAAAAAAAAAAAAAAGGGTTGTAAGTGTGTAAGTCTGAAAATACTTACATTGTAGGTAAGCATGCCAGTGTCTGTATCGATGTACACAACATATCCCTCCATTGGCGTTTTCTTATGCCTTCTCTTTCTTGATCCCTTATGTCGTTGTTTGGTTTTTTGTCTTGCACTGCTGTCCCTTTGAGCATTGACATTATCAACTGTAGATGCTTCAGACTGAGATGAATTTTTCTGAGAAAATAATAGAAATGTCAAACTATTTTAACCTCACATTTAGAGTTTACAATATACAGTTTAAAATATGGAAACTAACCTTTGTACATGTTCTTGCATTGTGTCCAGTAACCTTACAGACATTGCATGTCATAATTCTACCATTCCTTGACCTTTTTGTTATTGTTTTTCTCTCATCTAGCTCTTTCCTTCTATTCTTTTTTGGTCTACCAGGTAGTTTCTTGGACTCAAGAGGTAAGATAGATTGTTTGCCTGTCATTGGCCAAAGTAAATCACCATTTAAAGGCTTTGTTACATTGTCATTTAGCTTGAAGTATCTCCCTTTTCTATACCACTCTGACACAAAATCCTAAATTCTCTCCTCTCTAATGTACAACACACACGACAAGAGGGCAAGGAATGCCACTCAATTGCCATAACCCACATGCACATTCATGTGTTAATAAATTAACCACTTACTTCTGAACATTGTGTTTGACTTCAAACCCATTTTTTCTTTGTGTAACCAAATGGCAATAAGCACTCTCTTTCTTATATTCATCCAACATTTTCATGATTTTATCAAGAAACTCACCCACCCACTTACTAACCCTCTCTCTTTTTTCAGTTATTCTGTTCATGATTCTAATCTTGATGTCCTCGAACATACTAATGATAGACATATACCTTGCCTCAATTATGGAATGGTTGAATGCCTCACATAGATTATTGTCCACCATATCACACTTTGAATAAACGTTGAAAAATGCCTTAGACCAATGACATGGATCAACCTTAAGGAGATTAGTCTTAACTTGTGAATCTTTTTTATCCAATTCCTTTAGAGCTTGATGTAATTGGTGGACTATCATCGACTTTACACACTTCCAAAACAATGATTGAAGCCTCCTCCCTTTGTGCTCTTTCCTCCAGCTTGCAAAAACATGCCTTGCACAGAACCAATGTTTTGTAAAAGGCAATAATGCCTCCACAGTTAGGCATGGCAATGGGACCAGGCGGGATGAGGATTTCATTCATGTTAGAGTAAATGCCCTAGAGCTAATCAATTATTATAGAATTGACTATTTGTAATAATGTTCATTGATCAATTAAAGACATTTTATACTATATCGCATAAATCATCATTATATGTATTGATATATGTCCTTAAAGTGGTAGAACTGTGACGAAGGTATCAAGTATTTCAGATCTTGATAGTGAGAACCCTATGAGCACATAAGGTGGCCATTCTAGAAACGTTCATAGCCTCAGTATTATTCTGAAGTAAGGGCACAGATAATACGGTAAGACTATCATAGTGTTGAACGACCCTGTCGAAAGGCAGTGACTGATCTCACATATCAAGGTTGTTTGGTGACAACCTGGTGCAATACATGGGTGCTTGCTATAGGCAAGTTCACTGGACTGACCCACCAGAGGATTCCATATGGATGGTAACCCCAGTGTCTGTGGAACAAATCCTCTAACGAATGATGGTGCATGTGATCCTTAGACTTGAGATCACCGGCGCGCCTTGTGCACCGATTAGTGTAGTTTGACACTAGCCTAACGTAGTTCTATTCAGAGCTGTCAATATAGTGGTGATTGACTACATCAAGGAGTGTTTGATAATGTACAGCGGAAAGGGAATGTTGGAGGCCCGTCCCCGCCCCGTTAATTTTACATAAACATAAATTAATTTGAACATTATCAAACACAATAGTTAATTCTCGTCTACATGACAAACAGTTAAATTAATTGCTTAAGCATAGTTAATTCTCGTCCACATGACAAACACTTAAATTAATCGTTTAAACATAGTTAATTTTACATAAATATGGGTTAGGGTTTGTTCTTGTTCAATTGTTTAGGGTTAGGGAAATTGGGAAAATATGAGTTTATATAGATAGGATAATTGTGTAATTAGATGAAATATAGGGGTATTAGTGAAAAGTGTGTGTGTGTGTATGTATACACATGTAATTTTTAATTTTATATATTATATACGAGGCGGGACGGGGCAGGAAAAAGGCATCACCCACCCTCACCCCATCTAGGAACGAGGATTAAAACGCCCCCCACCCTCGCCCCATATGGGGTGGGGCGGTATGGGTCCTCGGAATTCCGAGGAACATTACCATGCATATCCACAGTGGGTACTAGCCCCTACATTACAAATAGTAAAAATCAGATAGATTTTAATGTAAAATGAAATAATACATCTTAAAATCAGGTGTATTAGTTTCAATGTAAGAATCAATTAAATCTTATTCAATACATTAAGAGGTATAAAAAACAGAAGAATCCAAGCACTAATACACTTTTAACTAACTGATTACAGATTGAAGTAATTAAGAGAATTAAGCAAACAAGCACTAGCGAAAACGTTTACATGAACTTCAATCACTGCCTGCACATTCACCAAATAATATATCTACCAAATATAAACGAGTCATGGAATCTGAAAAAATCTGCACTCATTGGGCTGGACAAAAAATGTGAAAAAATTATGGTTGAAAGCCCTATGTGTCTAGATTCACTATATTCAAACAGGTCATGAATCAGAGTTTTCTGGAGGAAGTAATTGCCGTTTAAGCGAAGGAAGGTCAGACAGTCAATTCTGGACCTTCGCTTAAATGGTCATAACTTCATCTAGAAAACTCCGATTCACGAACTGCATGATAAAGGTGTGGAAATCCGGTTAACCGAACCGGATGGGGTGTTTTTTGAATCGAACCAGTTTGGTTCAAGTAATATTCCGAGCCGAAACTGAACCAGAATATCATATGAACAGATTTTTAACCGAACCGATAATTTGGTTTAAAAAAAGGTTAACCGCTTTTAAACCGGTTTCATACAAAATCTTAAATTCCAGAACAATTTTACAACATAACTTATTCACTATCTCCGATTATTCTCACAACAAGAATCAACAAAATTTAAAACTGTAAAATAATCCCAACTTTCTTCCCAATCTTTTAACACTATTCTCCTCAATATTTTAACTTCCTGGTTGCTTTTACAAGACAAAAATCATGGATTCATGAAGGAAAAACCAAAGAAAATAAAAACTTAAAACTAAGAAACCCATTTGCTATAGATCCGATGGTTAAAGAAAATGAGAGATGAGAGTGGGTTGGTTAAGGATAGGTGAATAGATGTGGGGAAGAGAGGCTTGCAGTTGCGCTGTTGCGGATGGTGGTGGGGAAGCTTGTTACCGATGAAGGTGTAAATGGTTTCCCGATACCAGATCGCAACCAACCGACAAAGGCTTCAATCTAGATTGCCGCACGTCGCCGACAACCGAACACAGCTTAACATCTGGATTTACTGGAAGAGAAAAATGGTGTTGGTAATAGCAGGAGAAGGAGGAGTGAAGATAAGTAGGGGCCAACTGGGGACTGTGAGAGGTGGTGGGTATTTGAAAACGTGAGTGGAGCCTTTTAAATTTTAATTAAAGATGGCTAGAGTTCCAAGGAGGTAAGGAATTAAATGTGTAGTGTTGCAAGAATTAAATGCGGTGTCTTTTATATTTTTAATTCTTATTTTCTTAACTCTCTCTCTCCCTTTTGGTTTTAGATTAAATTAAAAAAAAAAAAAAAATCAATTCGTAAAACCGGGTTTGATTAACCGATTTAAAATTATATTTAAACCATTAACAGAATCGGTTTTTTGGTTTTTTCAATTTTAAAAATCGAAACCGAACCGATTACTTTAAAAAACTGATTTTTCGGATCAGTTTTGGTTTGGTTTTCTAATTTGGTTCGGTTTTTTGTTTTTTTTTTGCAGCCCTACTGCATGAAGCGTGTGAAACTAGACACATAGGGCTTTCAACAATAATTTTTTCCAGATTTTTTATCTGGCTCAACTAGTGCAGTTTCACAGCCAAAGTTGACCTATTAGCAGCCGAAATCTTGAATATTCACTTTTTCTTCTTCACTTTGCTCAAAACCTGAACAAAAACTTCAAACAATACACCCTAAACATGAGAATATAGCACAAAATTCAGCATTAGAGGTAAAAAAATATGTAATAATATTACCTTCTGTTGATCAGAAATAATAGTCATCCCTCTTCCATCTGCAGCCTCAATGTCATCCTTCAGAAGAGTCATGAACCAAGTCCAACTGCTCCTATTCTCACCTTCCACAAAGGCCTATGCAATTGGGTACATTTGGCTATGGGGATCCTTAGCAACAGCAACCAAAAGTTCACCCTTATATTTTCCCTTCAAGAAGCAGCCATCTAACTCAATTAAAGGTCTACACACCTCCATGTAGCCTTTCTTTAATGCATCAAAGCATACATACAACCTCTTAAATTGTAGGTTAGAGTCATCTGCGGTAGATGTCAACAACTTCATTGTACTACCTAGATTAGACCTATGCATCTCAACTACATAATCCCAAAGTCTGCCATATTCATAATCAATGTCCCCATTCATCATTTCAATCATTTTATGTTTAGCCCTTCCACACTTAGATAGTTGCACGTCAACCTTTAATTCTTCCTTAACTAATTGTTTTAGTTCTCTTAGTCTAATACCAAGAGTTATCTTTACCCTACTCAAAAAGTGATTTGCTATAACTGTGGATGTCACTTTCCTATTACTGTAGGTCATAGGACATGTATGTGTTTCATTGCAAGTTTTGACAATGAACTTACCAGAATTTTGCTCATATGATGCATAAACATAAAAGGAACAATTTGTAACACTACACTTGACACCAAGCTTCTGCTACTTGCATATGCTAAACCTAGTCTGAACTCTCCTTTT